AAGAAGTATCTAGGCAACGTTTCGATGAAGTCTCATTCATCATCTTCAGGCTTGTGTCTTCAGCTCTGTGCTTCTCAGAGTGATGTGAGCTTGCAGCTGCTTCTTCCTTTTAACTGCTAGTGGGGGTGTGACTTGATTGGGTGGGGGCTTGGCTGTGTTCTGATTGGGTGGGGGTGTGTTCTCATTGGTAGGGGGTTTGGCTGTGTTCTGCTTGGTTGGGGGGTTGGCCGTGTTCTGATTGGCTGGAGGCGTGTTCTGTTGCACATGATATACAACTGGAGAACTGGAGCCAGATGTCTAGAAACTTGTCACCTCTTGGAGAGATAGCAAAAGAAGGGACCATAAAAATTCCAGCTCTGAAAGATACTCCCTGGGAAATTTTTCTAAGATACGTTCCCAGAAAAGGGGTGGGGGAATTAACATGTTGGTTCTTTGTTTGACTAAATCCACATTAGAATAAGGGGAGGGGTTCTAACTCCCTTTATCTATTACTGTATGCCTGGAAGCATGTTAGATTCTGCTTTGACCTGGATCACTTCCTTTCAATAAAGAATTCCTTTTGAAGTACCTAGCTTTCAGAAGATCATTCTTTTCGGTTGAGGGGGAAAAGTCCAGTGCTTACAGTTGGATTGGTTGACCTTTTATTTCCACTGTTGGCGCAAAAGTCAATCGGAATAGAGCTGAAAGGAACCTTGGAGGTCTTCTAGTCCAACTCCTGTTGAAGCAGGAGACCCTTCTTTAAAAACCTCCACTTACGAAACACCCACAACTTCAGAAGAAAAGCTGAGCAGTGGTTAATTGTTCTGTCAGAAAATTCCTCCTTCATTCTAGGTTGCTTCCCTCCTTGATTAGTTTCCATCGTTTCTTGTCCTGCCTTCAGGTGCTTTGGAAAATAATTTGACCCCCTCTTCTTTGTGGCAGCCCCTCAAATGACAGAATATTGCTATCATGTCAGCCGTAGTCCTTCTTTTCACTAGACGAGATATACCCAATTCCTGCAACAGTTCTTCATACGTTTTCATCTCCAGGCCTTTAATCGTCTTAGTTGCTCTTCTCTGCACTTTTTCTAAAGTCTCAGCATATTTTTTTGTAATGTGGTGACCAAAACTGGACTCTGTATTCTACAGGTCTTACTAAGGTTTATAAAGCAGTACTAATACTTCACTTAATTTTGATTCTATGTCTCTGTTTATACAACCAACAATTGTATTTGCTTTTTTTGGCTGCTGGCTCTTTAAAAGTATTTTAGAAGTATTTAAAAGTATCTTTAAAAGTATTTGAAAGTATTTTAAGTGATGATCCACTAGGACTCCAAGGTCCCCCTCACAGTTACTGTTTTTGAACCAGATTTCCCTTAATCTGTACTTGTACCTTTCATTTTCCTGCCCAGGAGTAAAACCTTGCTTTTCTCCTCATTAAATTTCATGTTGTTGGATGGGGCCCATTGTTCAAGTCTGTCAAGATCTTTTGGGATCCTGAGCTTGTCTTCTGGGGTGTGGGCTCTTCCTGCCAGCTTAGTGTCATCTGCAAATGGGACGAGTTCCCCTTCCATTCCCTCATCTAAGTCATTTACGAAGATATTGAAGAGTCCTGGGCCTAAGACAGAGCCGAAGTCCTAAGAAACTTTTCTTTGCCGTTACAGGTTGCCCTGACCATCAAAGCCCTCCAAAGATACCGGATGGGGACTGACATGTCTCTCTTCGCCACAGATCAGTTTGACCCCGATCCCATGGCAGGATATCCGGGACACCCTCCCACCAGTGGTGGCATCGAAAGCACAGAAACCTACCAGAGCCCACCGTTCTCCGAGACCCTGAACACCAGCCCCAAAGGTTACCAGGTGCCAGCTTACTGAGAGGGCAGGTGGCCCCTCCCCCAGATGAGGTTTCAGAGCAAACCGAAACCAGACCCAGAAAAATGGGCTGACATACCACAAGGTGCAAGTATAGTCAACAGATTGGTTGCAAGTGTATTCAAAAATATTTTCCTTTTCCTTGTTTTTTTTTTTACATGTGGCAAGTTATGTGTTGGGTTAAATTTACTCTTAGCTAATGGTGCAGTGAATTCTGTACAGTGATTCTTGTCTTATCTGTCCAAGGATATTTTTGTATTAAAAAGAAAGAAAAGGGCAACAGTGTTCCCTCTAAGCAGGAAACTCTAGAAAAGCTGCAACTCCCATTTCCCTGACTACAGTGGCATTTAGTCGTGTTGACACTTGGCTGCAAGTGCACAAAAAACCTGGCGAGCCACAGGGCGCTAGAGGGATGTGGGTGGCAGCCCAAAACAAGATGGCAGCCATCACTGCGTGATCAAAGCCCTGTTCCTTGTTTGTAGGTGTCATGAATACCCAAGGGACCAGCCATCTCTCCTGGCCAGCTGGTACTTCAAGTACTTCCAAGGTAACCCAAAAAATAATTCTCCCAGACACTCCTAGAAATCTGTCTTCTCTGTCTCCCTCCTTTTCAATTTTCTTTCGTCGTAGAAAGAACTTAGAAAAGTTAAAAAGGAATGTGCCAAATTAAAATACCAGAAAGTATAGCCGTGTTATCTTCTCTGATGTACAGTTGGATGTATGTAAGTGCTATACATGGGACAATAAATGTGTATATACTGCACACGTGTGTTTCTGGTATTCCAGGACACTTTGTTGTTTAAATTGTGCACTTAAAAAGCTAAGCCTTGTTCCAGATAGGAAGCAAACCAATAAAAGTCCTTCAACGGCAAGAAATGTAGCATTTGGCCAAACTAGGTGCCATCTCAAGATTTGGTGGCTCCTATGATCTCTTCTTTGAAGAACCACCATTCTTGTTGAGAAATCAGAAAGGGAAGTTGCGAGGATTCCCAAAGTCAACAGTGGAGACGTGATTTCAGACCCTGGGTTTCAGATATTCCAGACAATATCCCCCCAGATATTGGTAAAGATTACTGACATTTGACACGCTCTTTTTCAATACGAATGAGACCAAAATGTTATTCCTGCCACCCCTTTAAAATAGCCGTGTCTCATGTTGAGGCTAACTATGCTTTACTCTGAAACAAAGATCCACGTGGGCATAATAAGCATCGTAACATTGAGAAAATGTCCTCTTTCCTTTGCAACTCAAGTAACCTTTCATAGGGACAGTGAGATCCTTAAGTTTCAAAAGCAAAAATATTTGTAATATAATTCCCCTATAAAGGACCAGAAACACTGAAGACAACAAAACATGGGTGTTGGGTTTGAGGTGACTGAGTTGATATAAAACAGAGAATGGAAACAGGTTTTCTTTATAGGAAAAAGAAATTATTTTAAATAATTTCAGCTGCAATAGGGGAACGTAGTCTTAGGATCCTTCTGCAGAGAATACTGGTGTCCCAGTATTCTTTTAAAGATCTAAATATATTAAGACTTTCCCAAGTGCAAAAAAAACATGAAAGTGAGATAATAGATATTTTAGCTGCCTCTGATATCTTGGAGTGGGAAAGGCAGGAAATCAAACAGAAATAGTAAGCAACCAATACACTAAATTTTTACAGAGACTGTTAAAATGGTCGTGGTCCTATTTCAGCCTTAAAACACACCAGATTTGATTCTGTAAGGTGATCAAGTCAGCCTTGGCAGTTCAAAAGCAGTGCAAGATTGAAGATGTTTTTAAAACAGGGTAGAATTGAAGCAATACAGTATTTTCCTTAGAGAGAACACTGCAATGTTAGCAGCCCACAAAACTTGTGTTTCAGCATTTTAGGAAGAAATCTTGCAGACTCAGAAGCAGAATTATCAAATATTTAAATGTTTCTCTTGACTGTACACGTGAAATAAATGTCTGTTCAGTAGTGTACTTTTTTCCTAACTATAAAGAAACCCTTTTCAGACTATCCTTGTGCTAACTAAGGAAAAAAGAAAAAACGGGAGAGATTATGTTCTGTTGGAGTGGTAGAAATGTCTTGGTCACTGTTTATGTGTTAGGGATTATTACCGTTCTGAATGTATGCACGTGCTGCCTACGCATGTAGTTCCTTCCTTTCAGCCTCCAGAGCTTAAGGGGAGAGGCAGGAACTGGTTCGGTAGCTTGGGCAAAGCTGTGCCAATGCGTCATGCAGCATTCACCACTCAGGCTGGCACTGAAAACGGAATGGACTAAAAGACACGGTGTTTGGGGGGGGGGCAGAGGAGCCAGCCTAATCCAAAACAGGGGCCTTGGCTCAAGCCGGAAGCTCTGCTCACCCACCTCAGCCCGATGGAGAAAGGTTGCCCCAAGATGGCAGCTGGGCCAGCACTGCATTGGCAAGCGGCCACTTACGGGCTGGAAGTGCAGGCGCTCTGGATCCCCTTCCCCATGCCTGACAAGGGCCAACGACACCCAGGCACAATTCCTCAGCACACACTTGTAGCAGATGGGTCAGAGCAGCCACGGTACTTTCTGTGGCAATTCTTTCCTGAGCTGTGGTGAAAGTGGTAGCTTTTTCTCACTGGCAGCTCTATCCTGAACACCCCCCTGCCCACCCCAATATAACCAGATACGTTAGGATTGTCCCAGTTCTAAAACTCCTTTTTGTGAGGCTGTTATCACTTTCCCAAATAATGTGCTAAAGGAGCGCCCTGCCCAGTCCTCAGGCGGCGGCGGGGGGGGGGGGGTGTTCCACCGCCAAAGGTGCAAGAAAGGCGGCCCTTTTTTCCAAGTCTTGTGGAGGAGCAAAGCAGGGTTGGCCTCCACAGCTGAAGCAGCAACACAAGCCACCCAAATGCTGTTTAAGCAGGACGACCCACAAGACAGCTGGAAGGCCAAGCCAGACCCAAACCCTCCATGGTCCGGCACTCGACCCCAGCGGCAGATCCTGGAGGCCGTAAGAGCAGCTCGCCCTCAAGTGTTTTCTTCACTCCCTGCTCAGAGTCGTGCTGTGGATCTCTGCAGCCGGGGCTGCCTGTCCCCTTCTTTCGGGGAATTCATTTCCTGCTCCTTTCCACTTTTTTGTCTTTCAATTCAACACAACACCCCATGTGTCCATTTACACACTGCCAAAGCCGCCCTCACCCCCTCCTGCCGCTTTCCTTCTGCAGAAACCAAAAGACCCCGCAGGCAGTCCAGGAATAGGTTCAAAGCCTCGGCCTTTGGCCAGCACCTCTGCCATTGCCCTTTCTTCCTCTAGGCTGCTCTGCCCCCCAGGTCTTGCTCCCAGAGAGTGCTGCAGCGATGGAGGGCCTTGGGAATACAAACCGTTACCACTTCAGAAGGGCTGGGGGGGGGTTTCCTGTGGGTGTCCAGGCAGGGACATGGGAGCCCCACGCCCAATATAACTTTTGAGTCCGAGGCCTTTGGGGCGGTGTCTCCCGAGAAGCCCCCTCAGCCCAGCCACCAGGCCCTTTTATGTCCCAGCAAATGGCAGGTTGGCACTTCAAGGATGATCTAGCGAAGGTTTTTCGCTGTTAATGCTGTAGAAACAGAAACCGGTCAATTCTCCATTCAGATCGGTCCCAGCTGCAAAGGCTTTTCATGGCCTGCTGACTTTGGCCTTCTCTTGCACAAGCAAGAAAACCCAACCTTCTTTTGCCCGAGAAGCCCATTGTTCAATGCAGCTCAGGCAGCCAATTTCCCCAGACAGGATTCCGGCCTACATTAGGTTCCAGTTTTCCCCCTTAAGCCCGGCAACCATTCTGCGGCCGGCCAAAACACGGACCTGGCAATCCAACGCAACTGGCTGAGGCCTGGCTGGAGGAGAGCGATCCCTGGACGAGAGAGAAAAGCCTGTAACTGCTGCGAGGCCATTTGAGCTTCTCCGTGTTTCTGGTCAAGGTTAGTTCGGAGACCAAAGAGGCTTCCATTTATCACCAACAGCAGGAAAAAAGTTGCCACTTTAAGTAGCCCAACATGCACTGTGACAGAAAAGTGGACCATGTGAATTTTTTTTAATGTTTACATTTTTATGTATATAATTATAGCTATACATTTTGAACAACAGATTACTCTGTGATTGTGCTAATTTAACTGTTGGTGTTGCGATTACAACTTATTTTCCAATAAAGAGCTTAAAAGGAAGAGCCCGAAACTTGTCAAAAATGTTCCTGGGGAAGGGAGGCCACCGGGGGACCCAAACGGCTGGTGCAGGCTTATTGACGGCCATCCTCTCAAGCCAACAGGGCTTCTTTTAAAGTCACAGGTGGCAAAAGCATTCCGGGATGCCAGGCAACTGGGCAGGAGCAGCTCTCCTATCCAAGCCTGGGACCCGATGGGTCTTGTTCAAAAGGAGCCCCCGTCACACTGAGTGGGGGGTGGGGGCACTGTAAGGAGGAGCAGCAGCAGCAGCAGCAGCAGCTTCTTCGTCTTCCGCTGATGCTCAATGGTTAGACTCTGCAACGTGAGCTTTCAAGGGAGAGGCCCAAAGAAGCAGGAGCTTGGGGCAAAGAGCAGAATCCTCCAAGCCACACAAGGTCTCATTGCAGAGCATTCAGGAAGTGAGAAAAAGGGACGTCCCCACCAGTAGGAAGAGCCCCAATGGGGGTGGGGGGGGCGGGGCAAAGAAGAGCCATGGACACATTGAGGGTGAGAGGACTTCCTTGAACTCCCATTTGCACTCCCCTCCCTACCTTGGCTGAAGTTGAAAAGAGCCCTACACTCTATTATACTTGCACTGAAAAATGTTGGAATAACTGAAAAAGGTTGTCTGAAAAGCACAAATTTTAAGACTCAGAAACAGTAAGTTGAACTTTGTCTAATACAAACTAAACCTTGTCTGAGATTGAGGCGACAGGTCTTACAAGCATTGCCAACATAAAAGAACGAACAATTGCCAGTTCCAGAGCCCAGTTTCGGAACTCAGTGGCCAACTTGATACAGCAAAGTGCTCTGCAAATTGTGACTTTAAAAAACAGCCCATTTTTGCTCTTGAAAATTGAGGGAACTGCAATACCAAATCCTCAGCAATTAAAGCCAGCCCACAAAAATTAATGTGGCAGATCTGTAGATTGTACTCAGTTTTGCTTTGCAAGACATCCAATGGTTTCTGTAGTCTTCCCCTTTAAATAGAGGCAATGGGAAGTAGCACAATCCAGTTATATACCACATACATACACACGTCCACAAAACGAAACTTCAAGGGGCCTGTGCTAGGTCTTGAATACTCATACGTGGCTCTAGGTGTGTGTATCTGTGTGTAAGAAAGGGGAGGGAGAGGGAGAGAGAAAACACAGAGAAAATTGTAAATCATATTTCTAATGTCTACTCTTGAAAGCTACTGTAAAAAGTTAGTGGTGCCTCTGACCAACTTTACTGTCTCGAGAAGCCACTGAACTCTCCTGCTGGAGATGATCTGGATAAGGAGGAAGAGGACAGAACTCATGGATAGCAGCTGGCAACACCCTGGGCATCCAAAGTCACCGGGGCAGAGATCCAGGCAAGCAACCCTTTTCAAGAACCTGCCAGGTTGGCACTGAGGCATCAGGAAGTGGTCACTGCTGAGCAGCATTTAATGAGCCACAACCACTCAAGACCATGGAAATAACTGAACTCACATCACTGGACAGAAATCCACACTTAACTGTGAGAAGTAAAGAAAGCACTGAACGGCACCTTTTCCCTGCATGCAAGTCTAGCAGAACAGAAGGAAAGAGCCAAGGTGGTTTCCTTTAGAAACCACGCGAGAGAAACAGATTCTGAGTTCTTGGGCAACTCTTCTGCCTGAGGACAAGTAGCAAAGTCCTCTCCACAAAACACTGTTAGGGAGGAGGGAAAGGAGGATAGGCGGCCACACAGCCCCCCCCTTTGCCCAAACTTGCCGCTCTTCTCCACTCTCTCCCATCTCCTGGAATCCTTTGGTACAGACCCCGTGAGCCTCCCTCCATTACTTCTCAGCAGTCAAGCCCAACCTTCCCCTCTTCAGAAAGCAGCCGCCGCCGCCGGGCATCCTTGCTGTGGCCAGCCAGACGTTAATGCTTAGCCACAGCAGTGAACCAGGCGCTGCCTCCCTGCTGCTCCATCCTCTCCTGCAGGGAAGGAGGACTGCCCCCAGGCTTGGGTAACAGCTACAGCTTCCTTTGGTCTGTCACCATTTAACACCCCCCCACCCCCCACCCACCCCAAGCGTTTCTTCCTCGGGCCCCACGCACACAGCTGGCTCCTCTCCCCTGGGTAGAGAACCTGCCTGAGAAGAGCCACTTTTCAGAGGGAGACTAACTTTATTGGTCACCTGGGACAGCTAGCTGATGATCCGGCTAATGGCCTGCAAGGAGGGGAACTCGTCCTCCTCCAGGTGCAGGGCTTGGTGAGAAGGGAGGTCCTGCTGGGTCAGCACCTGCTGGCAGGTGGAGCAGACGCAGCAGTCCAGGTCAGAGGAAGCCAGCTCTGCCTGCCAAACCCCCTTTCGGTTCTTCCTGGACCTGCTCAAGGGCGAGGGGGAAGAGGCAGCTGGAGCTTTGGCCTTCAAGTCGTGGTAAGCAGAGAGCAGTTCCTGCTGCTTGGCTGTGTCTGGCAGGAGGACCAAGAGCTCGTTGAAGATCTTCTTGAAGTTCTCACCCAAGAGCTCCTGGCAGCTTTGGTAGTACTGCTCCGCTGAAATCAGACCCTAGGGAGGAAAATCAGACAGTCAGGAAAAAGAAACGCAAAAAGCCAAGCCTGGACTGGACTGGAGCCAAGACAAACTGGGGGGGGCAATCTCAATCCCTACGGGCAGGGATGAAGAAAAGGGGTCCCATGGAAGTTTCTTCTCCATGGCCAAGGAAGTCATCCGGAAACAGATCCTTCGCCCGCTTTGCATAGGGATTTGGCGATTCCATCGGGAGAAAGCGAGGGAACGGAACTCATCAAATTTGTAGACAACCCTTTCGAAGACAGGCTCCAGAGCCAGAAGGATCTCGACAGGCTTGGATGCTGGGCCCGAGCTAACCCAAGGCAATTCAATGGGGCGAAAAGTCCGTTTTATACTTGGGCAAGAGAAACCAAGGCCCCAGGTACAGAAGAGGCGGTAACTGGGAGAGCAATCTAGGAGTCCTAGCGGGCCACCTCTGAAGTCTGAGCCAGCCGTGAGCTGCCATTCAAATAGAGGGATAGAACCACCACAAGCGTCAGTGCCACTTTATGCTGCACCGGGGAGGAGGCCACAGTTGGAATACGGGGTCCAGCTCTGGGCACCACAATGCACCAAGGATGCTGAGCCCCTAGAAAGAGCACCAAGAGCCAACAAGATGGTGAGGGCTCTGGAGGTTAGGCAGCCATTGGTCTCTGGGTGCTGCGTGTTGGCCAGGAGCTGGGCAGGTATTTTGCCGTGGAAACTGCAGCCCTTTCTTGGAATAGAGTGTCAGGA